TCTGGGAACGCGTGGTCTGAGTGTACGCTGAGAAGGAACAGTGCAGAGGGGGCAGGGATCTCTGAACACAAACGTGTGCTGATAACAAGTTGTGCAGGCTTCCTGGGAATGGGGGGCAGGAGTATTTTCCCTACAATTTTCTTCCTTTTCTAGGTCTGCGTGGTGGACAATTGGAGGGTCATTGTCCTCAAACGCCTTATGGCACTGAACAATGGGCGGTAGTAGAGGACCACATACCAGGCATGTGACATGGGGGGGATAGGGGGTGGTGAGGCTGGCCAGAGGCAGAAGCCAGATCACATGAGACACTCTAGGGGTACGTTTTCTTTTCCTAAAGACACCAGAAAGTCAGAAAAGATGACAAGCAGGGGCAGAGCAGAATTCTAGAAAGATGCTCAGTACCAATAAACAGGGGAGGACCAGAGGGCCTACTTCCAGCAAACTGAGGCCAACAAGGGGCACAAAGCTATTTCAGATGCAGAGACAATGGGAAGCAGTGGGTGGGGGAAGGGATGGGAGCAGGTAGGAGACAGCAGGGGAAGGCAGAGTGGGCGCCCAGGCTTCTGGCCAGGAGGCTTGCACGGGTAGTGCGGGCAATCACAGAGACAAGGGTTATGTTGGGGGCGGGGAGATGACGTTACCCTTTGACTCCTGTGTCATTTGTGTACATGTTTGTGGCCGGTGGTAGAGAGGGCCAGCAGATGGGCAGGGAAGCCAGCACTGGGGAGCATCAGAGTCAGGGTCCCTGACAAGAGTCGGAACTGACATTCATGGTTTGGGGGTGAAGTTACACAGAGGGAGGGTGGAGCGAGTGAGGATCAGCAGGGTGAGACCTCCCAGGCACCAGTGCTCAGGGGTGAAAGAAGCCAAGCACCTGGCATGAGCCAGGACCGAAGGGGCCAGGGAGGAGGTGGGGCAGGACAGCAAGGAGAACTGGGAAGTGGTGAGTGTGTTGCAGGGAGGCCAGAGCCACACACACCACTGCAGAGGAGAGTCCAAGAGTGAGCAGGTGCTCCTTGTGGGACCTGGGACAGAGACCTCCAGTGGTGACGGGGGGGGCGAGGGGACCAGGCACTGCTGGGAAGCAAGGGGAGATGTCGGGGAGGGGAGATGGCAAGCACGGACCTGTCTCCCCCAAATGGAAACAGGTGCAAGGGGGGTGGTCCCTGCAGGAGGCTGGCATGAGAGAGACACGGTCACAAAGGGGAGGCGTTCACAGAGAAGCAGCTTGCAACAGAGAAAAGGCAAGAAGGTCAGGGCAAGTGAGCAGACCGGGGGGCGGGGGAGGCGCTGGACTGGTGGGTGGGGGAGGATGGGATGAGAGTCACCCTTCCAGAGACGTACATGAGAGTAGTGAGGACTCTAAAGACAGGGACTGCGAGGATGCCAAAACTGGAAGCGGACAAGATTAAGTTTGTGGATCAGGGAGGCGGAAGCTGATGGAGCTTATTCACACTGGCTTTCGTTTTTATACCAAATCATTAGCTGTGTAATCTTGGAGTACAACAGGTAAGCATGAGGTCTCGCCATCAGTGTCTAGTAAGGAGCGTCAGTAACGGTAGGGGGTGCTCTGCCCAAGGACCCTGGTCAGTCCATTTGTCGCCCAGGGCTGGTGTGCACCTGCGCTTGTCACCTGCTTTTGCAGATGGGTGCTGCTGGTTCTGCAGATATGGCCAAGCATGGAATGTGAAGTGGGTCTGTGACATGGGCTCGGGCGTGCTTGCACAGTGAGCAGGAGTGGTCCCTGATGAGCAAAAGCAAGGGTGTCACTTGTCCCTTATGGAGATGGATGCAGTGCGGGAGAGAAAGAAGGGCACGGGGCATGGAGTCAGACCTAACCAAGTGGACCTTTAAGGCAGAAGCCCCTCTCCCACCTGTGCCCTCAGTTGTCTGCAGTCAGACAGTGGTCCCTAAATAATAGCATTTGCCTTGATTCTCTCAAAAGACACAGTCCTACAGCATCTGTACAGTAGACCACAATTGTCCTACTTCATTATCATTGTTGTTAATCTCTTTCTGTGCCTAATTAGAAATGGTACCTACATAAAAGGAAAGATGGAGTACTTGCATAGAGGGTTGTGTACTATCTGCAATGTCAGGATCCCCTCTGCTGTGACAGGTGCTTAGGGCAGAGAAGATGGACTGTCACCAATCCCACCATCTGAAAACATCTGGCAGTGTCAGGCCAGCTCTAGATCCTCTACTGCATACAGACTCATTCTGGACGAGAGGGTGGAACAGAATTTTGTGAGCTGAAAGTTCATACTACCTAGGACCAGCACTGTGATACAGTGAGTTAAGCTGACAACTGCAAGGCTTGCACCCCTCTTCTGGTTTTAGTCTCTTGCTACTGTGCCTAGAAGGCAGCTGCTGATAACCGCAGTACTTGGGCCTCTGCCACCCAAATGGATACCCAAAGGAGTTCCTGGCTCCTTCTGTATTTGGCCTGGCCTAGCTCTAGCTGTTGTAGCTATTTTTGGAGTGAGCCAATGGATGGAAGGACTCTCTTTCTCTGCCTCTCCCTGTCTCCTGTCATTCTGCCTTTCAAAAAATAAACCTTTTAAAATAAACAAATAAAATTCACATTGTCTAACATATGTGGGGCTTGTTTTTTCGAATCTGTGGAATGGAGGAAACTCACTGGCCCACACTCTCACTGATGGTTTCAGTATGCATTCCAGAACGTGAATGTATTGGCTGCTTAACAAGTGCCTGTCATGAGATGGCAGCCCATACACAGGGGACATGTCATTAATGCGTCCCCTCTATAGAACCCTAAAACTTGGTGTAAAGCATTCGTCCTTCAGGTGGTTTTATTCAGGTTAACAATGCATGTGTTATAAAGACCTGATAGACAGATAGTTGAACTACAGGATAAAGGCGCAACTAGGGGTTTGGGGGTTGGACGCATCGAGAGGCAGGTATGGTGTAGCTCACTGGGGTTGTTCAGGGTCTTGCCGTGCTGGGCTCAGGAGGGCTGGCAAGCACGTGTGGGGAGAGGGCTCCACTGGACAGAAGAGCTTGCAAGGACTCCAGCATACTACCCAGTTCAGGGCTATGATAAAGTCAATTTCTTCAACTATTCCTTCGGACAAAACAGCCAATGGGCATCCTTCAAAAGGTACCAAGCTATAAACAGAGGATTCTCCAGAGGCAGGAAGTCAGTGGTTAAGACACCGGTTGGATGCCATGCCCTTCATCAGGGTACCTGGGTTTGAGTCCTGGCTCTCCATTCCTGATGCCAGCTTCCTGTTAAGGCAGACCCTTGAAGGCTAAGGTGATAACACACATGACTGAACTGTTGCCACCTATGGGTAAACTCTGCATGGTGTCCTTGGCTCCCACCTGTAGTTCAGGCCAGTCCTGGCTATTGTGAATGTGGGGGAGGGGGATGAACCAGTGGATGGGGGTTCTCTGACTACCTATGGACCTGCTTCACTGCTTCTCAAATACAGAAACAAATAAACACTTGAGCTCTCAGCCCCCACTGCCAGTTCTCTCTATTGATGGTACTATTAAACCCCTGCACTTTCCTGGGTGTTTATCTGGTGTTATGTAGAGAAGTCAGCACGGGGTGCTATGAAATGATTCATCTCCAGAGACCAGCACTTCAGCCGTTGATCTCTAGGTGCCCTGTGTTCCCCTACAAGGGCTAGGTTCTACAAACCCACAAATGACCTGGTTCTCAATCAGACATGCAGCTTTATGAAGCTGCAGAAAGCACGTGAAGCGGGGCCGGTGGCGGGGCTGGGGGGGGGGCTGCTGATGTATGGTAGGTGTACTCATCCTCTTATGATCGCGGGTTAATGATGCAGCTCCAGTCCTGCCTGATGCTACCTGCCCCTCCCAGCGGAACTGCTCCTCTGTGCTTTATATGATTGCTTCTCCATTAATCTGAGAAACTGCAGACACCATTAAGGAGAATATGGTGTTGAAATCATTGCCATCAGTAATGGAAATTGCTAAGATTAGCTCCGATTTGTTCACAGCTGTTAAACAAATACAAAACGCATTAAATGCAGGTCTAAATTTACTCTGCCAGCTGAGGTAAAGACGTCCGCTCTGGCCTGTTTAATGGACCCTTCAACTCTCACGTTAGGCTCTTCCAAGGTCTTCTTTGGCAGCGGGATGCTGTGTCTCAACCTCCCTTCCTGACCTGCTCTGTAGGAAGAGCTAAATTGCAAACTGTTGCCAGCCTGCTCTGGAACTTCTGCTGGCCTATTTCACACGAACACAGTCTAGGTAGTGAGCAGAAGTCAGGAGAGCTCTGAACACTCGGCCATCACACCCTGCGCACCTCCGCGACTGCCGGGAGCCAGTCCAGTGAGGGCAGCACATGGGAGTTGAGATCCCGACCCTGCTACCCACGTGCATTTTGCTCCTCACCCCCTGACTCATGTGAGTCAGCTTCCATAAGTTTCTGCTGAGTCCTGTCATCTTCCTAAGACTATGGCTACTGATAACTCTAAAAGCCTCACACCACATGTATCGTTCTTTCTGCCATCACCAAAGTCCTTGGAGGAGAAGGACCGACCGAAAATGCTCATGCCTCCTGATATTTGATGATGTTGTATCTTTCCTTGTCAGAAAATATGCTGACCTATTGTTTGTAGTTGGGTTTCAACTACTCTTAATTGGAATAAAATTCAGAAGTCTCAAGAGAGAAAGAAAGAGTTGGGGAGCCTTGCTTTATTACCAAGAAAGAATCCAGGGCACAGACTGAAGGAGAGAGATGCAGGTTAGCTGGAGCTATGTCAACCCTGCAGCAAAAGTTACAAACCTGTGTGTCCATGAACATGCACTGGCACGGACACATCTTACACACCACTCTCTGTGTTTCTGGTCACTGGCAGGGTAGCCATCCTTGCAGCCTCAGCACCAGCCATGGACTGACAGCATCCCAATCCCCCTTCTTTTGGAAGCATTCTACCCCTGAAGGCTTCTCAAACAGGGCAAAAAACCCATCAAGACATCCATGCTTGCATCCCAGGTGTACCTACCTGACGCAGAAGTACAAGACCACGGGTCCAGACTTTTTAGGGAAGTCATGTTCCAACACTCTCCGATCTAGCTGGAGCCAATTCAAGTGTCCCCTGAGAAAGACAGAGACAAACTGGTTAGGGCTTTGGGGGTTTTTAGCAAGGGGTTGGTTGGGGGTGGCGGTGGTGAGGGTGCAGGCAGGGAAGAACACAGTGGACAGCAGATGAACATGCGCTGTCACTGGGACGTCCAGCGGGGCGGTTAGGATATGCAGGCCCCTCCCTCATCGAAGCATCTGGGTTGTCCCCTTCCTAGCACCAACTTCCTGATTCCAGCTTCTTGATAATGCAGACCTGGTGAGGAAGTAGATGAAAACAGATCCCTTCCACCCACATAACTGACCTAGACTGTATTCAAGGTCCCTAGCTCTGGCTCTGACCCAGCCACTGCAGGTGTATGAGGAGAGAACCAGTGGGTGAGTGCCTTCTATCTGCTATTCAGCTGGATGCTTTGCTCTGCCTCTCTTTCAAAACCTTGGGGTTTTGTTGTTGTTTGTTTGTTTTTAAATGGAGCTCTGCCTCCTACGGAAGTCCAGGCATCACTTGGGGAAGACCATGCCTGCAGGAGGCGCCATGCAATGCCAATGAGGGCAGGAGAATCAGGGCTGGAACTACTGCTCCTAGACTGCACTGAAGTAAACGCTGTTCTGAATTCCTTTCCCATCACACTCCAACAGCCTTTTTCTTCAGAGGCTTCCAAACACACTTTTGAAACATGTTAGCAAGCCTCATAGTGTGTTGCTGGAAGTAGGGGTACAAACTGAAGTGCAGATAGTTTTTTTTTAATATTACATTCATGCCTGCCACACAGCCCAAGCTTCCATTCAAGATAAAAACAAAAGCACATATCCACATGAAGACTTCTACACTAATAGCCACAGAGACTTAGCAGCCACTTCATAGACATGGCCTGTGAACAAGATCCTTTGTATACACTGTAACAGCCCAAACTTGAAATCACCCAAGTGTTAGCAACTGCAGAAGAATGGACAGAACAAGTCAGGATATATTTACACAATGGGATATTATGCAACAATAAGTATACTGTTCCAGGAATACATGTAGCAACAAGCATGGATGTCAAAATAAGCATGATGCAAAGTGGTCCCAACTAGAGACCATTCTGCTCAGTGAAATAAGCCAATCCCAAAAGGACAAATGGCAACCTTTATGCAACATACAAGATCATTAGATATATAGGTAAACGTACATATACTTATATTCACCCACAGGAACTAGGATTAATATCCCAAGAAGTGAAGAAGACACGTTGCAGTATGCTTCTCTACTCCTGATTAAAAGAAGGACTCTCAATGAAACTGTCAAATATATCTTGACAATAGGATGCTGGACTTCTACCATCGTCTATACCTACAATGTCATGACACACTTAAGCAGCCGGATGTTGGACTTGTAACTGTTGCTGTAGGTTTATACTATTATAATATGGTGGAAAATGGGGCGGGGGGAACTAAGGAGGGTGGGAAGGGAAATTCCTGAGCCTATGGAACTGTAGCAAGAAAAATAAAATTAAAAAAAATCATAATGCAGGCCAGTGCCATGCATAGTAGGCTGAATTTCACTTTTGGCGCCATTTGGGTACAGGATTGAGTCCTGGCTGCCCCAGTTCTGATCCAACACCCTGCTAAGGCCTGAGAAAGCAATAGAAAATGGCTCAAATGCTTGGGCCCCTTCACCCATGTGGGAGAGCCAGAAGAAGCTTCTGGTTCCTGGTTTTGGATCTGCTCAACTCCAGCTGTTATGGCTTTTTTGGGGGAAGTAAATCAGCAGACGGAAAATATCTCTCTCTCTCTCCCTCTCTCTTGGCCTCTCAAATAAAAGTAAATCCTCTTCAAAAATCATGATGCATAGATAGCACATACTGAATGACTCTATGACTGAATGACTCTAGTTGCGTTTGTAACTCCACTAGAATCATCTTGGGGGTGATGGATATATTTACCTCTTTGACTGTGCTGATGGTTACACAGGTTCAGGCATATACCTAAACTTAAAAGATACGTCAGGTATGTCTAATTAGAGTGACCTTAAATGATGCATAAGTGAAGTCACGTCCATATTTTTTCCCTCCCTGGCCTCCTTCCCTCACTTTATTTGCCTTCTGAACAAGATCACTGGGCACTCTTTCTATGAAGGCATCAGAAATGCAGATGTGAACCAAACAGCTCCTCATCCCCTGGAGCTTCTGCTCTTATAAGAAGACAGATACTAGATAAAGATCTCCACAGTTAATTACATGGTTAGTACTAATTAGTATTAATCACATCAGGACCATAAGTTAGGAGGACCTCACGATTACTGCTATGCGATGGAGCTGGGATAATCTGGAATTCTGAGAGGCACCTCCCCACTCCTGAGCTGAGATGTGAAGTCAGAGCAGGTGCTGCCTCAGCATTGAGGTGAGGGAGACACCTCCCAGGGAAGACCGTGCAAATACCCTGAGGTGGGAATGCTCCTGAAACCATAAAGACATACTGAGTGGAAAGGGCCAAGGCTGAGAGCACCTTGGGAACCATGCTGCAAAGACCAAGCCTTGAAGCATCAGGAATACCAGAGTCAGGGTGATCAGAGGCACCCTCGCACACCCTCTTTCCCTTCCCCTCCTGCCATGACCTAGTCTCAGTTCACTGTCCTGGAGGGCACAGCCTTACTATCAATTTATCTTGCAAATTCACTTAGAACAGACCCCAGCCAACTCCAACGCATCTCCCACGTGACTGAAGCTGCTCCAATGTCAGTAACACACGAACCCATGCAAAAGCCTGGTGCAAGAGCTATGCAGAGTGAGACTCAGTCTGCATCACTGTATAAAAAACCTTTGCATCTCCACACACAAGCTCACCTCCAAGAAAAGAAAAGAGAGTAAACACTTTTGAGGTTTCCACCCCCTTTTGGAAACTTCATTTAAACTCTTATCGATTGCACAAGAAGAAACAAAACAAAGCAAGCGAAACAAAACTTCAAAATAGAGCTCTACTTTTTCAGTTAAGCCCATGCCTGTAGCTCTAGATATGACATCTGAATTGGTCTCAGAACGGTGGCCAACTAATGAACTCAAGCCTCTTTTTCCCACCCTAAGAATCCCAGCTGGACAAAAAGTTTACCTCCAGGAACTACTTTTTACTATCTTACTCTGAACACAGAGGGTGAAAAGTAAAGGGAAGATCATATTCTTCTAAGGAAAATGACTGGTCTGGACCAACTGCTTTGGGCAGTTGTGCTAATATCTGATATCTGATAGCACACAATATCTAATATCACAATATCTAATAGCACACAAGATGAAGGAACTGCCCCTGGGTACCCATGTCATCTCTGGTTAGCCCCGAAAAGTTGTTGCAAATTTCTGTTCCTTACCTCATGTTATTCCCTCTGTCAAGAATGTCCTTCCTCTCTGGAATGCCCCCAACTTTTTTTTTTTTAACTTTGAGTAGTGGAAAGAAAGAGCTCTCATCTCATCTGGTCCCCAGATGCCTGCAACAGCTAGAGCTGAGCACAGGGCTACTATCAGAATCTGGGACTTCAATCTGGGTCTCCCACATGAGTGACAAGGGCCCAAGGATTTCAGCCATCCCAGGATCTGCCTTTTGGTGGAGAATGGCATCAGAATCAGTGCCATGATGTGAAACAAGGCCCTTCATCATGGAATGTGCACTTCCTAACCACTAATCTAAACTCTCACTCTTAGTCCAACCAGTAAGATTCAACTCTTGGGCCCAGTGCAATAGTTCAGTAGCTAAAATCCTCACCTGGTGCACACAGGAATCCCACATGGGTACTGGTTCATGTTCTGGCTGCTCCACTTCCCATCCAGCTCCCCACCTGGGCCTGGGAAACCAGTAAGGGATGGCCAAAAGCCTTGAGGCCCTGGACCCACATGGAGACCCAGAAGAACTCCTGGTTTTGGATCAGCTCAGCTCTGGCCATTGCAGCCGCTTAAGGAATGAACCAGCAGATGAAAGAACTCTCCATCTCTTCTCCTCTTTGTTTTGTCAATCTGCCTTTCTTTCCAACTCCTCTTCTTTGCCCTCCCAAAAAGACTCAATTCTCACATGTCCACTCCAGAAAACCTTCTGGATGCATGTACCAGGCTGGGCTGGGGCTCCTGCTCTGTCTCTTTCAGCTCCTACCCAGGACACATCTCACTGGTTGCACAGAACTTGTTTCTACCTATGCAGCATTTTCCACAGGAGACTTTTTACACCTGGAAACCCTCACAAGGCCTCATAATGTAAAAGTATACATGTGTCTGATCCACAGGTAGGTATTAGGAAAACATCAGATCTGGTTCACGAGGTAGAAACTACAGCCACTTCCCTCCTGCCTCTCAAAAAGGCTCCCAAACTCTCCAAGCCTCTCTTCGTGATCAGCTTCCAGCAGGGATCCATATGCATCCCTGATTCTGCTCACTCTGTTCCACCCAACAATAATTTGCTGTCTCTCCATGCTCTTTAACTGAATGCTAAGCCATTGTTCAAGGTTGAGTTCAAGTCCTTTGTGGAGTAATGGCTTCCTTGATTTCCTAAGTCTGGAGTTCCCTCTAGTTTTTTCCAAAATTTCTGATTCATGATTTGTATAAGACATTTGGCATAACCTTCTGTAATTAGTCATTTTAAACAGCATGACCCAACTCTACAACTAAGTGCTAACTTCACAACATTTTTCTTTCAGATAGCATACTGCTGCTACATATCTTTAACTTTGTTTCATTTTTGTGAAAAAGATTTACTTTAGAAATAAGTTTCAGCAAGCACATGTCATCATTAAATATTACTTAAACATACAAATGGTTCTGATGCAATACCAACAGCCACTTTTAGTAGTAGATGAAGAAAGTTCTATTATTGGCCATAAGTGGCATATGTACTATTTTTATTTCAACAATAACATGATGTTATATATGCTGTTAAGCTGTTTTTCTGACTCAATATTTAATTCTCTACTATATCCTTCACATAATTAGAAACAACTGAAGTGATAATTAGAAGTGCAGATTCATTGAGTAGAACAAAATATAGTAATATTTACAATTA